AGGTTTATGTTTACTAAATCAGTACTATTTTTCTTTTGGAGAAAATATAGTGCTGTCTATATTCGGCTAAAAATTAAAATATCAAAACTATAAAATAGGACATCACCATCAATTTAAAAAGTATTAGTAAATTTCAGGTGACAATAGTGAATATTTGTGTTAAAAATTACAAAGAAAGTTATTTGTAAGAAGGTCTAACAGTTAAGTGGTTAACCAGATGCACTTCAGGAAGCTGTATGAAATGGATTTGATGGGTCTATATTATTTATAATGTAAAAAATAGACACTTTCGGAAATACAAGGCCAGTATGTTAACAAAATACAGTGTGATGTTTCCTAAAGTGTTCTGACTTTCTTCCAAGAAGGAATCTGCATGTGTGGTACACCTGCATGTGTGGTACAGCAGCATGTCTGGTACACCTGCATGTATGCAGCTAAGCATGTGTGATGTAGCTGCATTTGTGCACAGCTGCATGTGTGGTATAGCTGTTGCCACCTCAGGCGTTTGTGTCTGCTCATACTACAAAGCTGAGGAAGCAAGATTTAAATAGACAAAGCACCATGTTAAAAATAAAAGTCAGCACATTTGAAAAATAAATATATAAAATGAGCTCAAAATGCTCTTAATCCTAAATGAACAAATTCCAATGTCACCGACTTTTCTTTTTGGCTTAATTTTTCTTAAATAAAACACCTGCACCGCATAAGTTCTGTCATGCCCATTTAACTATTATGGTATTATTTTCTGACGAAAAATATACAGAATATATTGAGTACTTAATATGCGCTAAATGCTATTTTAAGCATTTTATATTGTACTATCTCATTTAATCCTCTCTCTCAGAATTAGACAACATCATCTTCATGTTACAGAATAGGAAATATTGTTTGGAGATATTAATATTTTTTTCTAAATTCACAGAGTAAATAGTAAGCATGGAAGTCAAATTTTAGGGTCTCTGACTTCAGGTCTTCCGGTTCCAGTTTTTTAAGCATTATATTATGATCTCTTTTTCCTCAATGACTCCATTAATCTCACAATACTGCATGAGTGAAATGTTCAATGCACTCTTTTAGCTTGTTTTGTGGTACCACAGCAAAATACCTGACACTGGGTAATTTATGATGAACAGGAATCTTTGGGCTCACTATTGTGGAGCCTGGGAAGTTTAAGATGAAGCTGAACGAAGTTGTGCCAGCATCTGGCAAGGGTAAGAGATAGCAGGAAGGCCAGGCTCATGCTTTTATAACTGCACGAATTCCACAGAGAGGTACCGATGGCTTAGTCACCTCGGAAAGGCCACCTCTTAATGTCATCACAATGGCAATCCGATGTCAGCCTGAGTTTTGGAGGGAGCAAACATTCAAACCACAGTACACACATTTTTATTTTATTTTTAAATTGCAGTAAAATACACATAACATGACAGTTCCCTGGTCCAAGTCCTAGCAATGGGAGTGAGGAATTTTCAAGATGACAGCAGCCTTGCACCACAGAGGCTGCCTGTATCGTCAAGGGAGATCTGGAGCCAGGAATGCAAGGCCATGCCCCATCAAATTCCTGACCTATAGAACATGTCAAAGACAATACATTATTTCTGTGGCAAGTGTGGTGTAGCTGCATAGATGATATAGCTGCATGTGTGGTATAGCCGTATGTGTGGTACAGCTTTCCACCTTCATGGAATGTGACTAACAGCCAAGGAGCAGCGAAATCAAAATAAATCATCTCATCCCCAGCTCAGCGTCCTCAGAAATTCCCTCAATACCTCCTTTCTGTGGTTTGGTAGCGTGAAACACAGTCACATCATTTAAAGTCACATAATTTTAAAGTGATTTGTTAGATAGCACCAGATACCTTTAAAAATCCATCACAATTGTTTTTTGGTCTCTGTAATAATCATGTGAGATGGTCTAAGGACAATTATCCTCATTTTAAAGATTCAGGGACTTAGAGGAATGATAAAATTCTGAGTTGAAAAGCAGCTGAGCAAACTGAAAACCATCCTAAGTTCAGCGTTGTTTTCACGCTACCGAATTTCTGATAGTGTTGTCATTGCCAGTGCATATCCACTTCTCCGTTTGTGCAACCTCAGGAGTTTATGACAGACAAACAAGAGCTCTTGGAAGTAAGAATGGCATGATCATCAGGCCTCATTAAAAGAGCACAGTGGGCTGGGAGCAATGGCTCACGCCTGTAATCCCAGCACTTTGGGAGGCCAAGGCAGGTGAATCACAAGGTCGGGAGTTCGAGACCAGCCTCACCAACATGGTGAAACCCCCCATCTCTACTAAAAATACAAAAAATTAGCTGGGTATTGGGGTGCGTACCTCTAATCCCAGCTACTCAGGAGACTGAGGCAGAGGGAATCTCTTGGGCCCAGGAGGTGGAGTTTGCAGTGGGCCCAGATTGTGCCACTACACTCCAGTCTGGCCAAAACAAAACAAAAGAGCATAGTGATGGTTGCTCCTGTTCAGCCGGCATCCTCCTCCTATTCCTCACTCTGGTAACGATCTTCAGCTTCTTAGCCACAGGGCTGAATGTATGAGCTAGACTGTAGCCTCCTTCAGTGGACAAACATGGTCTAAGGCTAAGCCTCACTGGAGGTCTTCTAGAGAGTTTTCCAAACTAGAACCAGTGGAGTAGATCTATTTCGTCTTCACTTGTGAGGCTAGAAGGTGAGAAACCACAGTGTCTGCGGCAGTGCTCACTGCCATGCAGTCTTCCACCTTCAGGGAGCATGACCGACAGACAAGCGACAGAAAACTCAAAATAAATCATCTCACTGCCAGGTTCAGAACCTCAGAAATTTCCTCAATACTTCCTTTCTGCAGTTGGTAGCATAAACAAAGAAACCTTGCCTTTGATAGCTTAATCTTTGCTTTCACTTCTAACCAAGATTCTGGAATAAAACAAATAGCTTCTGTATGTAGAAATATTCCCACAAATCAGTCATGGTGAGAAGTGCTTCCATAAATAAAACATCTTTGAACCCTAATGACAACTATGCAAAGAAAGTTTTATTGTTATCTATTAATAGTAACAACAATGCAAAAATAAATATTGTTATACATTTATTTCTATATGTTATTGTTATATATTGTTATATATTCAGGTGCATGTGACTGAAAAGGATGGATTAAGAAGGTTTCCACACAGTTGATAATCAGCTGAACCAGGCTGTAAACACAGATATCTCTGACCTCGATACCCATGACTTGAGTGTAATAATAGCGATCCCAGTTGAATCTGAAACAGATCCACACACTTAAAATACTGAAGTAAAAGAGATGAACTAAATACTAAGCTTTAAAGAATGCTTTGTAAGCAGTGTCCACGTGCAAGTTTTCAAAGAAGATCTGTTGGAGACATTGGTCATGCTTCATGTTCACCAAACACATAAACTCTACAGGATGTCCAGAGAGATTGCTCCGACAACATACCAACCCCAGCATACAAAGCCATGATAACACTAGGAAACAGTTTGGTGCTCTGGAAGCCCTGCATGATCCAAGGCAAAAAGAAAACAGTGAAAATGAAATTGCTGAAGTTCACATGCATTAACGAAATTGGTATTTTTACAACACTCCTCTGTCTTCCAAAATATTTTTAATTTTGTTATATTTTATTACTGTTTATACTTTCTTGAAAGGTTTTACGACCACAGCTCTGCATTCAAGGGAATTAAATTGCCATATTTTTTCTTGTTTTATTTCTTTTATTTTTTTCCAAATATCTGCAATGCTGATGTATTACTAAAACCTCATTTCAGAAAATGTTCGTCAAAAACCAGGATATTGATTGCCAGGCAATAGCAGGAAGTTTGTGAAATAAAGCAGCATGGTGCTGAAGTAGTCATTAAGAAAATGGTGCAGATTTGTTACAGTTCTTTCAGTAAATGGTCCCTTCGAGTTTTGTTACCCATTTTTAGAGAAATCAAATAAACGTAATCATCAAATTTTACCAAATGGGACCAAGCCCTTTTTGAGCTTGGATCGCCTTCACCTTTACTCTCTCCCAGCCTGCAGGCTTTCTTTTCCTTTTCATTTTTTTTCATTCTTCACAAACCAGATATGCCAACGTTTTGTTATTATTTATTATTACTGCATTTGAAAAAAGTTAGAACTGTTTAGAAAGTGCCGGAAAAGGCTTTCAAAGGCCTTCAAGCATTTTGCAAAACCTCTGCTTCCTTAATTCAGAAATCTGTATATTAAGGAAAATTATATGTTTCTGTTTGATTTACATTTAAAACCTTAACCAGCATTTTTGTAGGACCTGTCTGATATATTGAGCTGTGTATTTATTTTCATTGCAAGATTGTTTCATCTTTAAGCATTATTTGCTGACCCAAAGGAAGAGGAAAGAACAGTATGGCTTTTGTCACAGTTGCCGAGCCTGGGCATTTTGAATTTGTTATAGACTACTCCAACTCTGCTTTAAACCTTAATAGACTTATAAACACCAAAGGAAGTCAGGAGATCTAGCATAAGAACTTTAGAAAAATGGAAAGTATTTTAATAGCAAGGAGTTTCTACTGTTTAAAAGTTTACATTAGCAGGAAGCTGTCCATACGAGTCACAATCTTTATTTAGCCAAGGTTACAACTGAGAGTAATTCAAAGAGCGACTTTTGAAGTCACTTATGGTGCATGAAGTAATCTACATCTCCACACCTACTCAGCATGCACAATTGTCACTGCTTGGCTGATAAAATATTCTTATTATACCAAACAGTGTACAAACAGGGATGCTAATACCAATGTTTTCTCATCCCTCATCTCTAGCCAATCACGCATCCTTTAAAACTTGAAAAACATTTTCTGTTATTTTTTCCTAGGATAAACAGAAAATATTTCATCTCAGGTAAAAATGTAAGTGGAGGTCTCTAAATCTCAAAAAAACAGAACAAAACAAAACAAAACAAAACATAAATTCCAACCAGGCAAGCAAAAAATAATTTTAAAAAAAGCTTTTCTGTCTCCTGAGCCATTCTGATTCACCTGTGTACCCAGCAGATGTAAATCCATGAGTGGATTATGATATTGATCCTGACTCTGAGCATCTGTGAATTGATTTTAAGAAAAGTAAATTATATTAACATACATAAAAACTACTCTGAAATCCAAATATTCTATATCTATTATTTAGAATACCGATAGTCTAAATAATAGATGTTTATTATTAGATTTTTTAGAAGACCGATATTCTAAATAATAGTGAAGAAAAATAAATTGCAAGACCATTGTGTGGACTCTCTGAAATCTAAGACAGGAGGTGAAGGGTAAATGCATGCCTGTGCAGGCCTGGGGAAGTAAGCAGAGTGGCTGGGAGGTGGCACCAAGCACAGTGCTCAGTCCAAGCCCCCATAGCCACCCCCGAAGCCTGGTCCTAGCCCATCTAATACAAGTGCACGTGATAGTTAAGCGCTAGTGGAACCTGGTAGTTAACAGTTGATTTTGCCAAATCCCGTTTTTCTTATTCCAAGTCCAGTGTATTGTCCACTACCTACTTCATTCCAAGTTTGGAAAGGAATGTCGCTATGTTGAAATTTACTTTAAGCTTGTCAGATAGAAATCCTCCCATGAGTGCTTGAACCTCTAAGCAGCTTAATCCCTGACAGAATTAAGATGATCTGCACTTAATTTTTCTAGCATGAAGTTAGCAAAATGCTTTCTGGAAAAAAATATCTGGAGCTTTTTCTATTAAAAAGTTTTTAATAGAAAATATGAAAGATTCTGTCAAAAATTATGTGATGCCCTGAGAGGCAAGAGCAATAGTAAGGCTATCAGTGATCCAGTTATTAGCGTTATCAGAGATTTAAAAGTAATCATGATCAAAATGTTCCAGAAAACCACGAAGAATTCCACTAGACCTCTGAGATTATAAAAGAGAAAGAAATGTGTATTCAAAAACTAGAGCATGTCATAAATTGAAAGTAAAAACATGCATATAGGTCTATCAGCATATTTGACTATCCTGATGACAGTTAGTAGAAAATGTCCAAACCAAGTATAGAAAGACAATAAAAAAAGGGAGGAAGAAAACAGGGGTAAAAAAAAGATTAAAGATACATAAGGCTTTGTGAAAAAGCGTAACATTTTGTAATCTTGGAACGTTAGAATATAACAGAATGAAGCAGAAATAATATTTAAAAGCCTTTGCCTGCAAAGAAACAGTAGGACCTATGCTTAACTCCCCACAGAATGAAGAAAGCATAATGACAAAGGAATGACAAATGTAAAGTTCTGAAAGAAAGTAACTGATGATCTGGAATTCTACATCTGGTAAAAATATTCTTCAAAAATGAAGACAAAAAACATTTCCAGAAAAAGAAAAATGAAAGATTTTATTGCGAATAAACCCATGCTAATAAAAACCCTGCAAGGAGACTTTCACTTTTCCTTAGTCTGTGTTCTTCAGTTTCCCATGTCCTATACAAAAAACTGAGGGATAATATCAAGAAAATAATATGAGAATAAGGTGAGAAAAACAACATTTACTTTACTGGCTTGCTGTTGAGAAATGAGCAAGATGACTTAAGTAACACACTGAATTTGATGCTTGGTAGATTCTCAATATATAATAATTACTCACAATAATCACCTGAATGGACACTACATGAGTTCTGAGGAGTCTTAAGTTTTAAAAAGTAAAATTATCTATTTAAATATGTCTTTTTAAAATTGATAAGATATATGGAACATATTCAAAAGATTCTTCACATTTTACTTATTTGAATATTAATTCAATTTTAGACATTTTAATTTTAATATAACAGCATAGAAGATTAATCCAGAGGCATTGCCTATATTTTTAAGGTCTTAATTGGTTACAAATTGACCTTTGCTGAAGAGATAAAAATGTATTTAGAGACTAAATTAAAAAAATACTTTCCACATGAACTCAATATTTTTAGAAAACAAGCATGTTATCCTTAAAACTATTTTGAGAATAACACTGTGGTGAAAAATGCTACCAAAAAAATTGCTTTGCTAATTAAAGCCTATGAAACCAAAAAAAAAAAAAAAAAAAGAAGTATCTTTCTTAATAAAGGTATAAAAATGCATGGTAGAGGGCCAGGTGCATTGGCTCATGCCTATAATCCCAGCACTTTGGTAGACTGAGGTGGGCAGATCATGAGGTCACAAGTTCGAGAACAGCCTGACCAACATAATGAAACTCCATCTCTACGACAAATACGAAAATTAGCCAGGTGTGGCAGCACGGGCCTGTAATTCCAGCTACTCAGGAGGCTGAGGCAGGAGAACCCAGGAGGCAGAGGTTGCAGTGAGCGTAGACGGCATCACTACACTCCAGCCTGGGCAACAGAGTGAGACTCTGCCTCAATAAAAGAAAAATGCTTGATAGAATTAGGGGGTAATTCAAATATGTCAGCAATGATATTAACTATTACAAAGTATAAAATCCTTCAAAAACACAATAATTGATAGACTATATTAAAATAAAAACTTTATACTGCTTTTAGGACACAAATTAAACATAATGACCTCAACAGATTGCAGATAAGAAAATGTAAAGTTTATGTCAGATATTAATCATTAAAAGGAGATATAATTAAGGTAATAGATGAGTAGTCTTGAAGGCAAGAAGAAATTCCTAATGATGAGAAGATATTCCATAAGAAATATATAATAAATTTAAATTTATAGGTAACTAAAGCAAAATTTAAATAACTAAAATCGACGTAAACATAATCACAAGTCAAAGAATATATCATACTGTCTTAGGAGCTAATTTAATAAGTATTCAAAATAATCATTAAGAGTATAGAAAATATAAATGACATGATTCGTAAACTTGATCCGGTTGACATGTAGAGTCTAATAAGACTGCAAACAGAAGTCTTATTAGCAATTACATCATTAGTTATTATTAATAATTAATTACATCATTAATTATTATTAACAATTTAATAATCATTGAGCCATCAAACTATTAAAAAACATAGACAACCTTCATAATCTCAGATTCAGCAATTAATTACTATATTTCACACCAGAAGTACTAACAACAAAAGAAAATTAATAAATTGGACTTTATAAAAATTAAAGATATTTATGTTTAAAGGCACTATCAAGAAATTAAAAACATTCCCATAGAAAGGGTGAAATTATTTACAAATCATATATCTGATAATTGAATTGTATCCAGGACATACAAAGGCCATATACAATTCAGCATAAAAATGAGCAAGCAGTTTGATAGACATTTCTCCAAAAACATGAATCTGCTAATAAGCATATGAAAAGATGCTTGACATCTTCAGTCATCAGAGCAATGCAAATCAAGAGCACCATGACAAACCACCTCACATAATCTAGCAAGACTGTAATAAAAATCACAGACCAAAACCAAGTGTAAGTCTGGGTGTGAGGAAGCTGAAATCGTCATGCACTGCTAAACGGTGCTCTTAGAAAAACACTATGGTAGTTCCTCAAAATACTTAGCACAGAGCTACTATATTACCTAGCCAGCAGTTCCACTGCTAGTTCGAGAAATATGCAAACATATGTCCACACAAATACTTGCACACAGCTAGTGTTAGTATCATTATTCATGAAATCAAGAAGTGAAAACAACCCAAATATCTACTCAAAAGTGAATAAACGAAATACGGTAAATCTATACAGTAGAGTGTCATTTGACAATGAAAAGGACAGCCTGCATGAACCTTGAAAAGATTATGCTAAATGAAAGAAGCCAGACCTAAAACCCCACATGTTGTACGATTCCATTTATATGAAATATCCAAAATAGGCAAATCTTTAAGGATAAATACTTGATTAATGGTTAGCTAGTTTTGCTGGGGGAACAAACGGAAAGTGATTGCCAGAGGTTGTAGAGCCGATGAAATTGTTTTAAATGATATTGTTTTAATGGTTACATAACTGCCTATATTAAATTATTCTATTGTAACTGTAAATAGGCTAATCTCAAAATACATAAATTATATCTCAACATAATTGTTTTTTAAAAGAAAAGTAAAAACTCATATAATAATGTACCTTTAAAATATGAGAGATAAAAAAGGACAGATAAAAAGGAGAAACTGGAAAATCTATCATGCCAGGGGTTTTTATTCATTCTTTCATTAATTGATAGAATGTATGTAGAAAAAAACACTTAGATATAGTAGATTTGAAACAACACAATTAATCGTCTTGGTAAAGTAAATATATACTACACATCTAATGATTGGGAAGTGAATATTCTTCAGAAGCACACAAAGGAAATTTACAAAAAGGGGCTACTTATCAAGGTATAAATCGACATTTTAACGTCACTATTATTCAGTGCACACTCTCTGCTTTCAAATATCTATTTCTAAAACAAATAATCTGATCTTTTAGTGTATATAGAACTCCCATGAATGGCTTTTTGAAACACATTTTTTGGACCCAGCCAAATTTCTGCCTTAGAAAGTGTAAGATGAGGCCCATATTTGCATTTCTAGCAAGTTCTCAGGTGATGCTTATGTTGCTAATCTAGGAGGCAGGTTTTAAGAAACATAGCTCTTAAATATGCACTCACAAATTTAAAAACACACTTCCAAATATCACATATTATGTGTGAAGCAATTGAAATAAAAAATACTTTAAAATACATAATAATAAAAGTGCTACCCACCAAAAAAGCGGGGATACAACTAAGGAGTGTCTTAAGTGTATATTTAAAGCAAACATGCTTATATTGGAAAATAAGAATGGCTAAAAATTAATGAGTCAGGCATCCAGTACAGGAAGTAAGCAAAATAGCCACAGAATAAACTCAAAGATGCAGAGGAAAGGAAGTAATAAGCATGAAAGCAGAGATTCATAAAATAGAAAACAAAGGAATAATTGAGCTCATTCATAGTGCCAGATTGTTTGTTTTTGAAAGTGTAATAAGAAGGATAAACCTCTGGCAATAATGGTCAAAGGGAAAATAAAGAGAAAAGGTGCAAATAGCCAATATTAGAAATGAAAATGGGAATTATCACTGCATGTAATAAGACTAAAATGAAAACAGACTATTATGAAAAAATGTGCCAGTGCATTTTAA